TTTTTTTTTATCATCAAGCCTCCTGTAATTTGACCACACTGACATCTACGGTTTGTTGACTCTGGTCTTAGCCGCAGTGGAAGTGTTTTTCTTATGCTGTCTTTGTTTCAGTTAAGTTTCAGTGTCCAGTTACAAGCTGTGGTGTGCAAAGAAAAAAAATGCAGTTGGCGGCACATCTGTCGGCCAGTTACCTTCCAAATGTATTGTAGCATAAAAGCTCGCTATGTATCTAAGTAGCCTTTGTACAGATTGGTCCAAACAAACAGCTAATAAGGGAGACAATTCTCCATAAGTAGAATAAACACACCCAACCTAGTTTCTGCTTGTTTCTATTATTTTATTTCTTCGTTTATTTTTTTGCCTGCCGTCTTTCTGTCTTCGAGCCGGGATGTTTTTTTGGAAATCCATCTGTCATCCATGGCCAGTCTCTGCTCCATCAAAAGGCTCAGATTTCAAAATAAAGCATTTCTCTTCAGCCCGGACATGCCGCCTTGAGTTTGTATCTTCGAAGGAAAGAGAGATTTCTTTACATCAGAGGACAGAGAAGGAAGGAGACTCACAGAGACACTTACAGAGAAATGCTACTGTTCCCATCTTTATCTTGCTTGGCATTCAGAGTCCTATCAGAGGTTTCTGTAACCACAATGTTATAGTGGCCGCTCTTACGTTTTGAGATTTTCTCCTGTGCTTACCGCTGTCCTTCAGCCTTCCTTAAATAATAGTCACTCTCATTACAAATGCTTGCCCTCTTTTATACAACAGTCACCAGTATATGTTAAGACTTGTCTTTATACTCGACGAGCATTCTCATTCCACAGCCTCGCCGTTGTTCCGCAGAATTGGACGCTGTCGTTATCTCCGCACCCGGGGAATTTAATTTAAATGGACATTTTAGCCCAATTAAGTGGGCCGGTGAGCATTTGTGAACATCCCCATCAGCTAATAGCGACCATTGTTCAAATGAGCATACTCCCCGTGCAGTTATCCAAGGCCTCTCCAATCCAGCCGAGCATATGCCATGTCGGCAATGTGTGCTCGCTGACCCCTAGTGCTGAGGAACATAAAATATGTTTTTGATTAGCCTTCCAACAGGCATCATGTTTCAGAGAGAGTGCGCACATCTTGTGTGTTTGTGCACGCCTGTCCATGTATGCTTAAAAGCCTGTAGGTGATATGACAGCCTCACAATGACATCCCATAACTCCTTGGGGCACAGAGTGACTTGTTTTGTCATTAACTTCCATTGTGCCTAGGGTTTAATTGGCAAATGGGGCCAAAGTAATGAAGCATCACGACTCGGTGGATATCTACTGTCTATCTGCAGCTAAGCCCTCCCTTTCGCCCAGAGTGCTCGCTTATTTTTCTTCATCATTTTATTCTTTGTCTACTCTTCTTTATATTAAAGTTAAAGCTTTTTTCCTACAATAGTTAATGATTATCACAACGCTCCAACTAGCAATAAAGAAATAATTAAATGTACTTATAATAAACATTTTCATGTGATGAGTTCGATTTCCCGAGGGTCATATGGGGTATGATCAAAATGTTCTGTGACTGCGGCAACATGATTTGAATTTGACCACCATCCCTCAGCGTTATCTGAAGTCCTTTGGCTGTGACACACTGCCTCCAATGCAGCTGCCATGCTTGGAACACTTTCTGAACGCATTCTTCAGTGCATCACACTGTTCTGCTGCTGCAGCCCTGATGTCCTGATGTAGCACTCAATTGTAATTGCACCACATTTCAGGACCTTTGCACTCAATGTCTTCCATTAGACCCATCATGAGTAGAAGTTGAACTCAGCACACAACCCAGTAAATTTTGGAAAAAATAAACAGCAACCCTCCTCCTGGTCGTGATCCTAAACTTGTATTCCCTCTTGGGTCTTGGAAACTGTGGACTCTTCTCTTTTTAAAACTCCTGTTTAGTCATTAGGTTGCTGATGAAAATGATCACAACTTTAACGTGAAGGTGCTAAAAAGTGGCCGAAAAGGCTTGTACCGGGCACCCCGTGCTGATTGGACTTGGCACCTCTTGCATCAACATGACCGTGCCATGCTCTTGATGTCAGCAGCGATGGAACTTTTCCATTTAATGAAAAATCAAAAACAATCTTGCAGCAAACGCAGCCCCAGACCATCACACTACCACTACCATGTTTCACTGTAGGTGTTGTGTTCTTTTTATGAAACGCTGTGCTAGCTTTACACCAGACATTACGCGACTCAGACTTCCCAAAAAGTTCACATTTTGTCTCGTTAGTCCGCAGAATATTTTCCCAAAAGTCTTCATCAAGATTTTTTTTTGACAAATGCGAGACAGGCCTGTGTTCTTTTTGTTCATTATGGATGCTACTTTTGCCCAGTCTCTTTTATAATGTTGAATAATGAACACTGTCCTTAATTTGGGCAAGTGAGGTGCAAATTAGATGTTGAGTTCTTTTGTGACTTCCTGGATGAGTCGTCACTGTGCTCTTAGAGTAATTTTGGTGAGCCAGTCGCTTCTGGGACACTTCATTCTGTTTTCTCCATTTGTGGATAATGGCTCTCATTGTGGTTCACTGGAGTCACGAAGCCTTAGAAATAGCTTCGTAACCCTTTCCAGACTGATAGATGCCAATGGCTTTGTTTCTCAGTTGTTTCTTTAAACCCTGGCACGATGTGTTGCTTTTTCAGATCTTTTAGCCTACCTCACTTTGTCAGACAAATTCTTTTTAATGGATTTATTGATTCAGCATGTCTAGCAGTAATCAAGTCTTGTTGTGGCTGTTAAAACTGAAATCAGCTTTCCAAAAACTGTTGTTATTCACAGTAAATTTATGATCTATCAAGGTTTTTGTGGGGGTGCAATTCCTTTCTTACATATTTGTCTAATATTGAAAGTCATTTGGTTATCTAGAACGTGCGAGTGTGACAAATATGTAACAAAAGAAAACCTCTGCATACAGCATATAAAATAATACATATGTTCTTCACTATATTTATCTACAAAAGAAGCATCACTCTCACATCACAACAACTTGAACGGCCAAGTCCTCCCGTTCACAGTTCTATGGAAACACACACATAACACACACTTCCGTATGAACATAATCAGACATGCCTGTACTTTCTTCATGCTGTGATGAATGACGTTTAGAGACAGCGGTTCAGAGCACCACCCACTAGGTTTAATTAGTCATTGTCACAAATCAATTAGGGAGAGGGGGATGTTCAATGTCTTCATCTCACTGCGCTCCTTTTGCATCACTGCAGTGACGTCTTGTCTCCTATAGACGTCAATGTAAAGCCATGAATGCTTGTTTTTGCAGCTATATTTTGGAGACTCAAGCGTAACTGTTTGTTTTTGTTTTCGTTAATAAAATCCCGCTTTAGCCTGTAAGTCTTCTAATCTTGTTTCCGTTCCATTAATTTCTCACTTCTTACACGTGAAGCTGAACATAATATCTCGATTCAGTTGGATAAAACTTGCCATCTTTGTATTACGCGATCGACCCTATCACTCTGATGACAGCTTTCAGCCTGTGCAAAATCTATTTTTCTTTGCTTGATGGGCAGGTTGGACACATCCCATCACATGCCATCTCTTGGCCGCATGTCCTGTTAATACTGTCACAGATGGCTCCTTTCTGCTTGAACGGTCGGGGACACCTGTGTCTACACGGACGTAATATCGGCCGGCTGGAGCCCCGGAGGATTTCTACTCTGGAGCAGATAAGATTTTGAACCGTCACCACCCTCCTCGGAGCTCTGACTCCCATCAGCTCCGGCTCCACAGCTGTCAGCCAAGAATGCGGACACTTTTCCACACCTTTCACTCCTGGTGCTTTGGCATGAAGCCACAAACAAAGGAACCTTTCAGAGTTAGTTTTCACCAGCAAACATAAGCTGTTTTTCCCTTCTCTGTCTTCCTCACAGTCCTCCGGATGGGGCCTTTCCAACTGCTGTTTATAAAGGCTTAAATATAGCAAATCAATTTTCTTATCGCTGATCTCTATAGCCGCTGATATGGGGGTTGGCAGACGAAATTTTTCCACGGGCCCACAGAGGCTGACACCCTCAGCCAACCAGTCGGCCCCCAAGTGGGAATCTGGCACTGACTGCTAATTGGTGGTGGACGGGAAGTTGTGTTAAGATTTGGAAATGTTTGCCCTACTTTATCACGTCTGTGTGTCAGTTTGGCCTGAAAACTGAAATAACATAATTTAGGCCACCCTGTGGGATGAACTGAGGTAATATTACCCTTGTGTTTTACTTCATGCCCTTGTGTTATGTTGCACATTTCATATTTTCTGTTAACATGGCATTTTGCGTTGCATTACAGCCTTTTTGAAACCATTTCCTTTATGTCTGCTGTCCTTCACAGATTCTGGTCTAAGCAGTCCTCAGAGTGAAGCAGATTTTGACTATGAAAGTTAGTCACTATGCTCTCAGAGTTTGCGTACCAGCTTTCTTTATATACGTATGGTTTTTGTGTGTGTGTGTGTGTGTGTGTGTGTTTTATTTTGTTTTAGGTATTTGAGCACCGCTTGCCTCAATTTCCAAATACATCATTTGCATTTGTTTGTTTTTTCACATGATGCAGCAAAATTTGAGCACTAATTAATTTTATGTTTGTTTCTATTGGTCCACCAGGGTGTGTTTTTTTTTTTTTTTTTCCCTTTAATTGGATCACAATATTCACTCGGGCTGTTGGCTGTGCATTAATCTACCATGCATAAATAACCTGTGCGATCACTTCCGCTCATGTATAGCTGGTTAATAAGTGGAGGTTTTTTTTCCCAAATACAACTTGTGTTATTCCTTTTTCTCTTCCTCCCAATCCTTACCTCCAAGCTGTTGTTCTCCCGTCTCCCTCCTCCTTCACCACCACTGCTCCATTTCCATTCTGAACCAACGGGGTCTTTTTCTGTGCTCAGAGATAACAAGCAGAATTAATTAAAGCAGTGGCAAACAATGGCTCGACATTTGATCACCCCCTCTCCTGCTCACCACAAAAGAATCACCCGAAAGAAAAAAAGGAGTTTCTGGTTTTTACTCTTCCCCCAGTTTTCCCTCTTTATTTTCTTTGCTTATCCACAGGCAGACGTCGACTCTTTAAAATGGAAATACGCGACATCATAAATAGGCTTTTGGAAAGACCGGCTTGGCTTTTCGAAAAGAATGATTATATTTCTCAGGCATATCGACTGCAGATCAGGAGACTGGAAGTGTGTAATTAGATGTTTTTTTGTGACGTGTGTTTACTAATCACTATGTTGATTACAGCGGGAGAAAAATAGGATAGTAGATAGATAGGGGGGGGGGGGGAAGCTTTGGGATTGAGCGTTGTGGGAGAGAGGGGGCTGACTGCTTCAGAGTTAGGTTAAGAAAGAACAGCAATTCGCCCTTGATTGTCTTTGCTTGGGTAAGCTTAACAGTCAAGTTTAGCTTAGAAGCTAAATATTTTCTGGGAAATAACATTGCAGCGCGCCTTCAGGTGTGGTAGATTCATTTGTTTGGAGCATAAAGCACGTAGTTTATATTATATTTTATTAGCAAAATGAGGCACCAAAAAGCAAACAGTACTAATTATGCTGATCAAACAAATTGAATTGCATATTTACATCAGGCTCTTATATAAGCCTTCTGCAAATAAGTGCTTCTTACCTCCTCCAGTTGAGGTAAACAAATGCCCTGGTCACTTTTTTTTTTTAAGAAAAACTGTAAAAGGATAACACACGCACACACAAATTGGGATACGTGCACATGAAAAGAAAACTACACACACCACGCGTGCACAAACCCCAACACAAACAGTCTTTGATCTCCCCTCAAACAACCTCTTGCTCTTGTTTTCCCAAAGAGAAGTAAGGGCCCCTCGTTTGAACACATTTACTTATTTCACTCATAGCGTCTGATAGGGTTTTCCTTTGAAAGCGAGGCTAGTAAACTGACAACCAAATTTCATTTTTCATCTTCTTTTTCCTTTTTTTTCTCCTTCCTTGATATCCATCGTAATGAATTCTTACAGCAGAAGCCGTTAATAACCTCGGCTCATTCCAAAGCGCCGCCGCAGAGCTTTGTTATCTCACTGAGAAAACTCAAGTATGAATAAACAAACAGTTCTGCTATTACCCGACAAGGTTTCCTTAAGGTTTGCAATTAACATGCTTAATTGAAACACAAACTCAACATGGGCTTTAAGAATAGGGGGAAACTATTAAGTTTGTCATTTAAGTGGTTTGCATTTTTTGTAAAGTAGACTGTTAATACGGCATGTCCGTGTCCGTGCCCAGAAGATGCCACGGCGTCCATTTGTCTCATGTGTACATTGTAATCTTTATGTACTTGAGACTGCCACATTGTTATATCAGTGTAAAATAAATTACCATCACTAATGAATACTGTCAGCACAGAGAGTTGGGTCCCAGCCCCCCTTAAGCGCAACAAAACACGGGTGACCCCCCGTAACATTGGAGGGGGGTATTAAGCATCGTATAAAAGGGAAAGTTAAGGATGGTTAATGTGATTATGCCGATTTGCATGCCCAATTAACCCTGAATTTTTCTGAGGTGGTGTCAACATTTTGTTGACTTTTGACCTCAATGCTCTGCAGGAAAAGAGGCCTTGTGTTTAAAAATATGGAAGTGCTAAGTATTGCCAGTCGGCGTGCAGGGACAGAGCCACAATCTACAGTTGCGCCATATTCCATTACATGGCCTCAGCATTATGCTTCTAAATGGATTAGCGACTGGAGTGCACAGCAGTGCTGATAATATTATAGTAGCTGCAACACAATATTCAGTGGATATTGAAGCAAGGAGGAAAAAAAAAACACAATTTTCCCCACCCATTTAAAAAAGCTTGTACTTTTAGTGAATGCCTTGGGATGAAAAGCAGTAGGATTTTTGGGGAGGGGTGGAAGTGTATGTTGGACTGCCTGTTTTTGGTATTGGAAGGTACCGTTGGGGTATTCGTCATTGAGATAGTGTTCGGCTAATGCCGAGCAAAGCGGCAGATGAAGGAAAAGGCTATCTTTGCACTAGCAGGCTGAAATGGAGCAGCTCACTGTGTCACTCAGCATCATTCACACTCCTAAACCTTCTGATCCCTCTCACACCTCCCTTCCTATAAGCCCCCCCAGGTCAGGGCTCGATTCTAGAATACGATTTTTATAGAGGCAGCAGTGAAAAGTGGTCGCCGTGCTAACAACGCTGCACAAACAGAGCACTGCAGATTAAGGCTGCGCTAACACCGTGGGTTCCATGTACAGCTAGTGAAAAACAACTAAGTCAACTTAAATTTGAAATGTCCTACTTGATCGAGACCATTCAACGACTCAACAGTATTCCCATTGAGTTGTGAGGTTTTTATTCAAATCATCTCTTGTTGATCGCAGTCGAGCTGAAAGCAAATGTTACTTTTGATTGTCTCTAATGAGGAGTTCAAGGCAATTTTGTCAACATGAGCATTCTGTTGATTGAAAGACCAAAATGGGGGTCTTTGTGATGATTTGTGGGGCTCCTTTGTCTGATCTCTCCATCAAAACCTTTTGTTGTTCCTCTTATGTCACGTTAAACTAATTTCCCAAGCTATCACAATTATTGATGCCTCTGAATGTTTGAGCTATAACTGGCTACGCTCTGCAACTTTTTGTTCCTATTGGTCCACCTGTCCGTCAGCATCGTGATTGCAGTGGGAATAATTACAATTTGGTCTGCGGGTGTATAACACAACCCTTTCTGGCAAATAATCAATCAGCCCCGCAAGATAAACTTGGCTATTTTTGAGCTCTGGCCTGGTCCAATCAAGTGCGTATAACATCACCAGTCAGCACATTTTTCTTTGCTTTTTTTTTTTACTGTGTGTAACATTCACAATGTCCTGCTCAAGCTTCCTCATCACTAAAACCCATTGTCCCTCATTATTTAAGCAAAGATCAAAAAACAAGTTACCTGTACTTTAAATGGCATGTGTGAATGTTTAGAACCAGTGTCCCGTGTGCTGTACTGATACACTTTCTTTCCTTTCTTCCCTTGTGTGGAATGTCTCTCTATGTTTTTGGCGAGCAGGTATGATGAATCATCCTCCTATCCCTATCTCAGAGCTGGCTGAACACACAGAACTTCTCAAGGCCAACGACAACCTCAAACTCTCCCAGGAATATGAGGTGGGTGGGCCAACGATTCAAACGTGAAAGTTGCCTTACAGTGTTGATTTCTGTCCAATTGTGTTTTCATTGGGGGGAAAAAAGGACAGTCTCATCCGGTATGCTCTAGTGTCGCGTGCTTCTTCTTTTGAATTCTTTCTTTTCTGCTTGTTTTGCGTATGTGCGTGTTGTAGCTGGTGTTACTTGAGCAATTACAGTGTTTACAACAAGTATCTCATACATTAGCAGCCTCCACATGGCAAAGAAAGACCTCTGCTAATGTGATTTTGGGAAAAGCGCACACTGGCACTCAGGCTTTAACATGGTATGTGTGGGAGTGTGTGTATGTTTGTGTGCAGAGGGGATAACTGAGCTGTCTGAGCTCTGAGACCGCAGCGGTTATAAATGACACCAGAGTTGATTAGAAATCAGGAGCGCTGAATCAGCTCTCGTTTGCATACAAGCAATATCCCCTCCCCACCATCCCTAAATCACTGTGCCTGTCGTCTCGCTGCACACCAGGCTAAGGTGGGAAGCGGGTACACCAGCACAGATTGCCGTCATCATGCCCGCTGGTGGATGTTGGCGGATAACGACTTCTAATAGCAATCCTGTATTTCTTGGGTATCTATTATTCATAAATCCACATCCGGGCTATATACCAAATGGACAAGCTTGTTCCGTTCTGCAGGGGAAGAGAGACGAGAAACGTGACGCCAAAGTTGACGCTTTGCTGCAACTTCAACTTCTAATTACTTGGTGTTGAGAGAGCCTTAAACCACCAGCTCATCTCTGTCTTCTCTCCCTCGGTCCGCCTGCCCCTTTCGCACAACCACCCCCCAGGAAAAATAAATGACCAAATTAAATAGAGAAGTGTAATTTTAATTTTGTTATTTTCTTGATGAATGGCTGCTCGTGCCGGCGCCCCGGCTTGCCAAGCACAGCTCTACAGGGCTTTGACTGATTGGTTTTTAGCCAGGCGGGATGTGCGAGCAGAGGAAAAAATGGAGGGGAAGAGGGCAGAGAGGAGAGAAGGGAGAGAGAGATGAGGTAGAGAAGTTTTGGTTAATGATGAGGATTCAGCGAGGGGAGAGAAAGCGGGAGAGTGGAGATGAAGAGAAGATAATCTCAAGTACAAACGGAAGCGAGGAAGGCAAACCGCGGCTCTGCGTGATGACACTGAAGCCGCAGAGTTTATCTGTCTGCTGTCAGGCGCTCAGGAGGCGTCGTCCTGCCAAGCCTGTCACGTGGACACGAGCTGTCATTCATCTTCAGCCATCATCACGGTAAAAAGGAGGAGAAACGGGGAGAAATTCTAGTTTTACAAGAGAAAATATTTTGCCGATTTTTTTTTTAATTTACAAATTTCTTAAATGTCATTTGTGGAAAAAAATATTGAAATGTGAAATACACGGATGTTGTTTGAAGGTTTTTGCACTGAGGGAGAGTTGGGAGTTTTTTTTAAGAGAGAAATGACCCCAATCTTTTTATGCATGAATACATGAATACTCACACTTAGTCGGTCATAAGATGATCTGAAAGGAAAAATATAGGGAGTGGGAGAGGTGGAGGACTCTTTAATAGTAAACTTCAGAGAGAAGACAGTAGATAAAAAGTGGAAGAGTTTGAAGATGGAGCCGTGCTGATAAGGAAAACGGGGATGTCGAAAAAGGCTAGAGGCTAGAAAGGGGGAAAAAAGCCAGATGAGGCTAAAACAGAGGGAATCTCTCATTGCTGTAATGATTGCGTGCTGATTGCATGTTAAATTAGGTTTCCAATTGGACTCAGTTTCAGCTTCAGTCTCTCTTTCTCTCACTCTCTCCAGCCCCAACTGCAAATATCATTCAAGCCTCCATCCCCATGCCAACACGGCACCAGACGCCTATGAGCAAACATCGGCTCATAATGGAATACTTAATTATCCTGGCGAGGGAGCGGAATAGTTATCTAGAATTCTCGTATTTTTAAAGAGACAGCTGAATTTGTCTTTCACCCAAGTGTCGAGGCTCATTCCACGAGTCTCCTGTCAAAGGGGGAAGAGCCGTCGCCTTTATCAATATTGTTATTTGTCATTATGCACCCCCGCGCATTAATGATCTTGATAAAGTACCACGTGCGGCTGCTGTATCAGAACCAGTCGGCGTGCAGATTGTAATGATACCGTGTTCTTCTTTCTCTCAGGGAAATCAACCTTTCTATCTCTCCCTCCCCCGTCTTCCGCTCTTCTTTCTGTGATAGCACGGAGGTTGTATTGTTATTACTCAGCTTCTCTCGTGGCTCCTTTTGATTGCTTCCTTACATGTGCATGTTCTGCCTGTCTCTGCACCCCCGTCAGTCTATTGATCCAGGCCAGCAGTTCACCTGGGAGCACTCCAACCTGGAGGTGAACAAGCCCAAGAATCGTTACGCCAACGTCATCGCCTACGACCACTCACGTGTCATCCTGGCTCCCATAGAGGGTAAGTTTCAGCCTCATGCTCCGCACATCTTCGCCACCTCTGACATGAGCTCGTATCGCTGCTGTTTGATAAGTGCTCACACAGATTCAGCGTAAGTTATCAGTAAAAAAGCAGAATATGTTAAATAATCAGCCGAGTGGAAAGGTGTTTCTTATTGCAGCGTGGATTTAAATGGGATAGATTAGCAATTTAATCCGTCGGGACAAAACTTGACTAGATTATGGAACAGGATTAGGGCCACTGAAAAATATAGAGGGAGATATTTTTTGGGTCAGGACTTTTTTTCTCGCTTTCAACTCATACGTTTGTAAACATAATTGTTTATCCACCAGTATGCACAGGTGCTTTAATGCAGAAATACAAATACAGTTAATATTTTTCAATGGATTTGCCAAACTCCAGTTGTTTACTGAACAGCAGATTTGGTTTTAATGATTGAAACACATCACATCCTTAGGGGTTAATAAAATATTCTGATTCTGAATTTTAAAGAAGTCCACTGTGCCGGCTCAAGTTTGGGTATAAAAAATGTTGAATTCAGTCATTTTTATCTTTAAACCTGTTCTTTTTTTTTTCTACAGATTTCTAAGTATTGTGAAATACTTATCTAATAAACGTGTGAAGCACCATATATGCTTACTGTATAACTTCTATGTAGAAAAGGAAGAAAAGTGAAATGTGCTGATTTTTAAACTCTGGACATTTTTCCAGCTCAGCTTGCTACTGACCAGCTAAGCAGTTTACAGAGGCAAATTGGGGGGTGAGGCAAGGCCTCTTTATAGCTCATCTTTAGGCCAAGCGCTTAGATCTCACACTCAAACCGAGTCGGGAGTTAAACCAGTGTTTTCAGTGTCCCATTTGTCTCATCACATCTACGCCCCTGTCTTGACTTCCCTCTAGCTGCCTATAGACACGGTGGTGAGAATCTCAGAGCCAGAAAAATTCTTCCTCTGACTCCTAAATCTCAAGGGACATTGTCAGAGGTAGTCACCCTTCACTGCTGACATTGTTCTGGCTTTGCATCACCAGAAGAGCTGCCGACTCCTTCACAGTAATGCCAAACTCTCTGCTCCAGAGTCCTCTCCTTTTGTGTGAAATAACTGCTCGGGCTAGATTTGGGTATCTTGCAGTAGTCAGTCCAATTTTAGGGTGCAGCAACATGCATAACAAAATTATCCCAGGGAAATAAAATGCCTCGTCCATAAATACATAAATTAATCAAGTCTGAAATTTCTATTTTACACTGCAGTGATTTTGCTATTAGTCGCAGCAGTAGAACAATTCATGCACGCCACCATTCTCTGTTCACTTAGCTATGACTAAAGCCAAGGCAGCCCAGTCAAATTGTGCAACGTGGTATCCGTTTTAATGACATTTGACTTTCTTTTCTCTTCTTTACTTCGATTCTTTGTTCTTTCTTTTCGTCTTTTCACCCTCCCTGCTCTTTCTGCCTCTCGCTCGGTCTCTCCCTTCCTCTGTATATTACATCCTTCCTCTCCGCCCGGGCCGTAGCCCTCACCGAGTCGCCTCTTTTAAACGAGTCCGGTCGAGTTTTTCATTGTTGAGCAAAGAGATGTCAGATGTCAAAGAGACATGACTCTCCGACACACAGATGCTGTCATGCCGAAGCCTCTTCTCAAATGGAGAGATTGTAGAAGTTGGTAAATGAAGATGGGTGATGCTCTGCCTTATCACTGCCAGACGCTCGATGTAAGACACTCCAATCACAAGATAATCCTGTTAACATTTAAAGCATTTTGTCCTTTAGTGACTCCTTTTTAAACTCAAGGGCACATTGACTTGTGAGCACATTTACACAATCCTGTGCATTAAAAACATTTCAGATCTTTCTGCACAGCAAAAGACCTCCTTCTAGCTAGATTTAGTAGGACCGGTGTATATCACAGCATGGTGGCAGGCTCAGGGGGACTGAAGCTAAATCTACCTCGTAGCTATGTTGGCTGAGAAGCTGTTTTACTTTCCACTATCTTCCATCATCTTTTTGGTCTGTTGTGGTGGTAAACAGGGGGGAACCTGGAAAGAGCCACAAACGTAGAAAAGAAAAATGATAGAATATTGTGACAGATGTGTTGAATTAATTTAAAAGCGCACAGAAATCTGGTTTGTGATCATTACAGATGGGAGAACTGCAAAAGGCATAATTAGCTGTTAATAAAAACATAGTAAATTGCTAATAGATGCACAATACTGCATGAATTAAGCTTCGTAATCCAAAAAAATAAAAGAGAACCTCAGTGTAGAAAGCTGCTTACACTTCAGTGGTGTAATAAGTAAATTATTAAAACTCAATAAATATGTATTAGTAACATAATAAATTACAAGTGAGTAAAGGCTTTTATTATCATCAGGTGATAATACCCCTTTCCTGACAAGTTTCTTAGAAGCTGACGTGGTCGACAGCATATTGAAAGACATTGCCACTGTAGTTTGGACAGTTTGGGAAATGTTACGGGAATTCAGCCAAATTCTCCTGACTTGCCTCATTCTGGTCTTCACATTTACACGTACTCCTTCCTTGGCTGGGAACTGTGTCAGTGCGTGTGACAACTGGGATTTACTGAGGCAGATGGCGTGATAATAATTGTGTTAATGAAAAAGTCTGATAAATGAGGTTTGGAAAAAGAATAATAAAGGAAAAGCCATCAAAGGTACACGTTCCATCTTTTAATCTCTGTTTTTTTTTTTCCTCTATCTGCCTACGTGTAGGTATAACAGGCAGCGATTACATCAACGCTAACTACATTGATGGCTACAGGAAGCAGAATGCTTACATTGCCACCCAAGGACCTTTACCAGAGACATTTGGAGACTTCTGGAGGATGGTGTGGGAACAGAGAGCAGCCACTATTGTCATGATGACCCGGCTGGAAGAGAAGTCGCGGGTAGGTCCACTCGGCATATCTGGGCTGCTTTTCTGTACGCTTCTTTTTAAACCCCCAACCTTACAAATCGCTCGAAAATGATGTTTTCTTTTAAATAAGCCTTGGAATCAAATCAGTGCATTACACAACCAAGTACAACAACCAGCTGCTGAAAATGGCACAGCTTTACATTGATTTCCCAGTTGCATAACTGAACTCCATTGGTAGGCAATCAGACTTCATTTTCTTGGGATAGATTGCTTTCAGAGAACTGTAGATATTTGAATGGGGTGGTTAAAGCAACTGGGGAGGCTGATAAAGCAGAGCTAACTCAAAGACACTCTACCTGCGCACATCTGATAAGTAAGGCTGCGTATCCACTGGGAGTACCTTCACAGGCTTAGCTCTGTTTTCTCTCCTTATTTGCAGCAGAAACCACAAGCTGTTGCATGTCCCAGAGAGCATAGCGAGTTGTTGAACTTAGACTGCTTAGTGCAGGAAGCTCAAATGAAATTTTAAGAACGGGAGTGCTAGAGTGCTGTAGAGTATTTGCAGTACCTGCGACCAGTCTCTCCTACAGCCATCTGTTGATTGTAGAATATAGAGAGAAAACGATCCAGAGAGAACAGTGGCTTAGATTCAGGAAGCTCAGCATCCTGTTTTTGTAATGTGTGAAGGAACTGGGTCCTAGCTTAGAAATGACAAATAAGACTACATTAAAGAAAACCTTAAATATTTGGCGGTGGGGGAATAGCGTTCAACGCAGTTTATGATAATCACTGCTGCAAATGAGACTGCACCTGTCATTTATTTGGTACACATTATGGGATATCAGCAGTTGAGACACTGCATCTCTAAGAATAAGAGAGGAGACTAACATTTAAGTACGTGAAGTTGCATAAACTTGCCCAGGCAATATATTTTGCTGATAAAATGTAACTTTATCCCATTAGCTCTAAAACACCATTATGTTTCATTGCACTTAAAATGGGAGTGGGGTGTTTGGTAGTGGGTTTTTTTCATGTTTGGAATAGTAATGTAACAGTTGCTCTTTGCATTGTTACATTGTTGCTGATCACGCCCATCCCTTTGTGATCATGGTGCTTTCAGCAGGATAACGCGCAAAATAATGTCATAAAGCTCAAATCATCTCAACGTGACAGTTCACTGTCCTCAAATGCTCTCCACAGTCACCACTTCACAACCTTTGGGATGCATGAAAGATTCACATGGTGGCTGTGCAGCCATGATGATCTGCATGATGCTGTTATGTCAGTGTGGCCCGCAATCTCTGAGGAATGTTTCCAGCACCTTGTTGAATCCATGCCCTAAGAAATTGGGCCAGTTATACAGGCAGCAGGGTGCCCAACACCATACTAGCATGATGTTCCTATTAAAGTGACCAGTGGGTGCATGTATAATAATCCACTAATGTAATAATAATTCACTTGGAAGTTTAGCTAGAAATCATCCTGCTGCATGATGAATACTTTTAATTAATTTTTTTACATTTTGTTCTCATGCTTCTGTGATTCTTACCATTTTCAGTGCAGGACCTTTTCCTGTAAAGGATTTTTTTTTCTCACAGTGGATTGATACTTTTACTTAAGTGAGTCCGCCGTGATAATATTTAGTCCTCTCGAGGAGTCGACTTGTCTAAATGTCAAAAAGCCAACCATGATGTTTCGTGCTGTCGAGTCAAACCTGTGTCAACATCAGGCTCACTCACCCCAGGTGTCTCCACTCATTTTCCCTTTCTCCGTCCTCTTTTGAATTGTTTACCTACCTTCCATCCTGACATGCGCATTCCACTCCTGTCAAACGTGATCAGGGTTAGCGGGTGCTGGAGCTCGAGTGTCAGCTCGACCAGGAAATGGGAGAGAAAACTGGAGAGCAGCGTCTCCCTCACAAGCTGTCACATCTGATCAGATGTCCACTGGCACATCACACCCCATATTGAATGAATCTTTATTAGGTGGACTGACGTGGTTTGTGTGCTTGTGTGTAGTGCCACAGGACTAGAAAAAATGTTAACAGTCACAACAAATCAAGGGTTTGCTCTAAAAAGTGTTTTGTTTTGTTTTGTTTTGTTTTTTTCCTTAATAAACTTTTAAAAAGTGTCCAGGTTTCCGTATGAAGATTTGAAATTATAGCAGCTGTGATTATGGAAAGTCATCAAGTTCCCGAGATTTCAATTACATTCCTTGTGTTTCACATTACTGTTGAATATGTTTTGTTTTAAGAAAAAGGCAAGGAAGGAAGCAGGCTGGATTTGTGTGAGGTTGGTAAAGTTATGCAGTGAGATTGGAGTCGCTGTGACAGGCACATCTGTTCAGTGTGCATAATGTTGTTTCTCAGATGTGAATTATAGAGAAGCTGCCCCGGTGTTTCTGTCACCACTGCACTGTTTCAGTCCAAAGGAGAGCTTGCTGCGAGAGCACGCCATGATACGAATAAATGTGATTTAAAAAATGTCCTAACCGTGCCTTTTTATGTCCGTGAGGTTTTTCATGCTGTAGCTAATGCCTCTCTTTCTCTCCCAGATTAAGTGTGATCAATACTGGCCAAGTCGAGGTACAGAGACCTACGGTATGACCCAAGTGACCCTTTTGGACACAATAGAATTGGCCACTTTCTGCGTGCGCACTTTCTCTTTGCACAAGGTAAGATGGTTCCTCACATTGTTCGCCTACACACTACTATTTGTACTCCTGTCTTATGTTTGATAAACAGTACTTGTCAATTCAAAAGTGATGTGCAAACATGTCCAAGCAAATGAATTACAGCCATTATCTTAAATGGTTCAAAAAATGAATAGCAGCGTCCTCATAAATGTCTTTTCAGCAAAGAGAGTGATAGTCCAGAGGACACGCCTTGTAGAAATACAAGCACAAGGTCTGCATAAACATTGAAAATATTGGTATAAACCACATGGTATTTTTCTGCTTAAAGCGAAGATATGTACAAATAAAACCCTTTGTTTCTATTGTCCTCCCAGTCCAGCCCTTTTTACCTTGCACAGCTCTCTCGCTCTCCTCAATAGATCATCTGTTTATGTGCATCTGCCAAATTGGAGCACTTAGGTAAAGTGAGCAGAAGAGAAACTCAATATACATAATTGGCAGACTGCTCTCATGCTTCTGTGCACGCACACACAGCCCTGCACAGATATTCAGAGCTATGCTCACTGCAAAGACTGCAATCTCATAAACGAGGAAAAAAAAGCGGGGAAAATATTTATTCAAATGAAAAATGATCATAACAGGATAATCTTACTTACCTAGCTTTTAAAAACAAGTAAAAAAAAAAAAAAAACATGATCGCATTGAACAGACTGTTTTGTTTTTATCAAATTTAGCAAGTAATAGCATGGTTGTCTTCAAATAACACTATACGTTTATATGCTAAAAGCAGAAGAGCTACATCAGAAGCTGCGGGACCCGTGCCTTGATACAAAGAAGCAATTTTAAATATCTTTATCGATACGTCTGAAAAGCTACTGGGGAGGTTGACAGAAAAAATGATAGTATTTGAACAAATATCCATTAACCATTATGATCTTGTTATAATAACAAATCCTGACTAAAAATAGATGTGCTTTTACCACAAATCTCCTGCTTAAAGGGGCATGAAGAGTCCATTTAGATATGTGACTCTTCATATGTGATTCAATTATGACAGAGCAATGTTACGGTGTATTAATTTCCCAAATAAGATATTACTCCAGTAATCATCTGCGTTGACTTTAAAAGGCAGAAAGGTTTGTTGTGTACTGTGTTAGTGGCAGGAACACGCGACTGTTTCATTCATATCAATATGTGAAAGGGATGCTTAAAGAAACTGTTTTTATAATCACGTTTTTGTTTTTATAATTTTATAATAGTAAAATGCTCTAAAATAAGAGGGGAGGCATAGTGTGTATTCCCTCTAATTAAGATATTTCATATGACGTATTGCAGTGCACTTTCTCCATGTGAATGAGCACATTCTCAAGACAGATTTTGCACATCCAAGCTTGCATTCATGCTTTTGCACAAATATCGGAAATGCTACATGCATAAATATGATGCCACACACAAACCAGTGTATTATTACCGCACCAGCACACATACATTACATGCACCCTGTTCTCACTCGCAGCCCTATCACAGAACCTGCAAAGACAGGTTCTGTGATAGGAGCTGAACCAGCCACTGGAAGGATTAGACATTTCCAGAATTTTCCTTTTGCCAAGATTACACCAGTGTTAAGTCACTGTTGACTTTTTTTTTTTTTACCTGAATTGTCAATGGAACGATGGATGCTGAGGCAAACCAGTGACAGTAAAGATAGCAACGTATCAGCAGCCGTGGCGCTTTAAAGCTGGTTGACATTCAGGGCCATTTACATTCTGCCGCTCTCAGCCTCTATCACACCCGCCGGTGCTTTCTTCTTTTTTCTGCTCACCCTCTTCCCTCTTGCTTATACCTGAAGCCATTGCCGGGATTTCTCACTGAGCTGTTTTCACTTTGTTGAATTTGTGTGAAGAATCAGGTGGCAGAGGCACACAGACAAACCCACGGCGCATTCACAAAGCAGCTGCTGTGGTACATATCTATATGTATGTGTATCCTACAGTGACGCAGGACTGTGTCCGCTGATAAATTCTTGACAAAAAAAAAAGACTTTAAAACCAGCAGCCAGGTAGCAGTCGTATTCATCCTGTCTTCCAACTCCAGAAATGGGGAATGTCCAAAAAAAGGAAAACAAGAAGTAGGTCAGTTTGCTTTTAATTACCACACTCATTTATTCATTTATTCAGCAAGGAAAAATTCCCTCTGTCAGGCAAGTAGAAGCACTGCACTGAAATGCAAACAGTGCCTACATTAGAGGATCTTCTGTGAGGAGGGGGAAGCGGACAGGAAGATGCGAGGCTGATCTTTCTCTCAGTCTCTTTCTTCTTGTCCTTCACAAAATTCTTCCTCTGGATCCCAGTTTTGATGCCTCAATAGTGGATTTTATGACAGGAGCTGTCAAACGGGTGTGTAATATGAGTGTTTGCCGCTTGTATCATGTCCCGAGTGTTCTCAGCAACAACAATGAGTACATGAGCACACGCACATCAGTGCTGATCAGCATGAAAATGATATCTACTACAACAACAAGTTCAAACTGTGTAAAATCATGATCAAAAGAAAGAAAAAGATTTCCCAAAAACTGCAAAGCCCATTTTGTAATTGAGAGCGGATTTAAACAGCTGTAAAATGTTTAAATATACGCTTATTTTATTTAATGGGATGCCAGCGACACATTTCAAAACAAAATCGTGACAGGGGCGTGTTTACCACTGGTTTGCATCACCTCTTTCTTTTTTTAACAACACTGAGCTCTCAAAACTGCAGCTCAGCCCCCAAACACAAACATGTTTTCCCATTCTTGCTTGAGAGGATGGGTTTTGAGCCTCTCAAAATGTTCTGCAATAATAAGATGTTCACAGCATGCCGCATGCGGCTCATCCACATCGAAAGGAGCGAGTTCAGGTGGTTCTGGCATCTGACAAGGATGCCTCCTGGGTGAGGTGTTTTGCCCCACCGGGAGGAGGCCACGGGGCAGACCCAGGACACGCTGGAGAGATTATATCTCTCGGCTGGCCTGGGAGCACCTTGGTGGATAAGCTGGAGGAGGTGGCTGGGGAGAGGGAGGTCTTGGCTTCTCTGCTTAGGTTGCTGCCCGGATAAGCAGAAGAAGATGGATGGATGGACGGACTGCATTTCCTGTGTCCGTAATGTCCATGCGCTTTAATGAACACCCAAACCCCTTTAAAGGACATCAGTGATAAGTGATCAGAATTTCTAAGTTTATACTGTAGCTGGTTTTCAGCTTTGTCCCTTTTTAATGTATTTTGTACTGGAGACTATGAAAGCGGCACATTCTTTGCAGTATTACACTGCAATTACACTGACACTTAGTCTTGTGTTACTGAGTTATTCTTAAACTGCTAAAAAACCTACTCACAAACTCCAGTGGATGCTTCTATTAAACCCAGTTATATTTATGACCATTTTCAGGACCCTTGTTTCAACCTTTTTTGAATTTTTTCCACTTTCAGTCTTTGATATTTTGTCTCTGTGTTGTACAACTAAACTAAACTGGCATAGTACAGAAAAGTAGACAGAGGAAAAACAGATGCCAAGCCTCGGTCTGGTTTAAATGCCTAGGAATAAAAATGAGTTTTCAAGCGGCTCTTGAAGATGTCGAGTGTTGCTGAGGTGCTCATTTCAAGGGCCCGGGCTGTTTCAAAGTTAAGGGGCATCTACAGAGAAGGCCAGGTCTCCTCTATGCTTTAATCTGCTTCACAGTAAGACCAGAAGCATCTGGTCAGCTGATCTCAATGATCATTTCAGAGAATGTGTAGTTAAAACATCCAAAAACAGGGGAAATACGAGCTCGCTTGCAGGTGCCTGTCAGGACTTGAGCTGCTGCATTTTGGTTGCAGAGGAGAACGCAGCGCCTGCCTGATTCTCAAATAAAAACTACTCCAAAAAGCAAGCCTGGGTGAAATGAAGGTATGAACTAGTCCGTCTAGGCTCTCAGTCATCCAGGTCATGGTAGTCGTAGGAGCTTGAAAAATCTTTTAGAACTAAAGAAACCTCTTGTATGAAAGGTGAAACATCCTCACACACTTGAACAAGTCCAGTGCCTTCTTTTTCAAGCATGGTTTGCCTTCTTAGCAAAAGAGAGAGAGGGCTTAGCCTTTTGCCTCGGGTAGAAGAAACTAACTGTAGCAACAGCATTTATCTGTTTATCAAATGTGTGATCAGCCCCGTGTTTTGGAGGGCCAAGACGAGTGAGGTTCAAGAGGTCCACTTCTTTGCTTCATCCACAATTTTAACTCGGTGAGACAGTCCAGCAAGGACAGGGTTTAAATGATTTCCAAATCAATACAATTTACGCAGTCCCCCAGCTTTTCTATTAGATTTACTGTTGAAGCCATTGATGAGCTGCATGTGTTGAAAACATTTCATCATAGATGATTTTAACCTAAACTATAGTGCATTTTACTCATCAAGGCTACAAAGTGCAACTTTTTATTTGACCTGAAATCCCATCTTTGTAGTAAGCAGGTGTATCCACTAAATATGTCAGTATGTCAGCTTTCTGAATGTTTTGTGGTCTCACTGTACAACATCTCTCTGTAACAGCCAAGTTGCACAAAGCAGCACCGTTATCAAGACACCATTTGGGTTTATAGACCAACAATAAAGCTACTGAATGACCCAGTGCAAACACAGTGCAACCAGCCTCTCTGTGTGTTATGCAGAATGGTTCGAGTGAGAAGCGGGAGGTTCGTCAGTTCCAGTTCACCGCCTGGCCTGACCACGGCGTACCAGAGTACCCAACCCCGTTCCTGGCCTTCCTCCGTAGGGTGAAGACTTGCAATCCGCCTGACGCTGGACCAATCATTGCTCACTGCAGGTCGGTTTGTAATTTGATTCACTTTTGTGCTTCAAAGGAACCGAGGAGTGGTTCTTGCACCAGCCGGTCTCCCAAAAATGAAGTCAAGCCCAGCATATGGAAAATCCCAGCTTCAGTAATGCAGTTGTTATTAGGTCATTGTGTGTCCGTGAGCCAACAGAATGGCAGGCTTTACCTGCATACTTGCTATTATAGGTTACGTAACACACTTTACACCACCGCATACTCTCTTTCCCAAATGACCTCTGTCTCTTCTATTTTCAATTGGTCACAGCAGCCTTCTCTTTAATTTGTGCTTTATTTCCCTGCTGCCATTCTCTCCACCTTTTTCTTTTCTTCTCTTTCTGTCAAAAAGCCTCAAAAGTAATCCCTTCCCATCTCCTTTGCGTCTCCCATTTCACTCCTTAGCTCTTCCTCCTTTTACGTGTGGTATTTCTCAGATGGCTTATTCAAATTGAAACCTTCCTTTTTGTCAAGATAAGAAGACTTCAGTGAGTCCAAAGCACTACACAATAAAATTGAAATTTGACGGCTTGCTTCGCCCAGTCTCCATCACTGTCCTCCTGTTGTTCTATTTGTCATTTTCCTTTATTGTTTATTTATTTCCTCTCTTAGCTTTCATAACATCTCTCTCTTTGCGTCTTCCTATTCAATTATGCAAAGTGTGACTTCACAACAGAGCTTACAGGACTTGCTGTATATAAAACATTATAATGGCACAGTGAATTACACTGAAAATATTCAATGCCAAAACACAAAGTAATTTTGTATCTTTTTTTTTTTTAATTTTACTCCAGTGCGGGCGTAGGCCGGACGGGCTGCTTCATCGTCATCGACGCCATGCTGGAGCGGATCAAGCACGAGAAGACGGTCGACATTTACGGCCATGTGACACTTATGCGATCGCAGCGGAATTACATGGTGCAGACCGAAGACCAGTACAGCTTCATTCATGACGCACTGCTGGAGGCGGTGGCCTGCGGAAACACTGAGGTGGCTGCCCGGAGCCTGTATTCTTACATCCAGAAGCTTGCACAGGTGGAGAGCGGTGAGCACGTCACTGGCATGGAGCTGGAGTTCAAGGTATAGGAAATAAACCTATAAAACCTTAATAACCTTCTGACCATTTTAAGTGCACTATGCACTGGAATTAGAGGGTTTTACACATTGCTTTGTTGTTGTTGTTTCTTTATTAATGAGCCCTAACTACATATACCGATCAACTTTAACTTCTGCTGGGGTCAGACATGCAAATTATCAGGGAGCCTGCTTGGAGTTTTTCCTCAGAGTCACCTGCCAAGACAGTGGGAAATAACGAGCAGCCACAGATCAATGTCTACATTAACTTTCCTCTCTGTAGTCCTTATCATAACTAAATAATGAAGACGGCACCGGTATGTTTTTCTGACACCTTGTTTTAAGCCACTGTAAGCCTTTTAAATAAGCCTAGCTGCCAGCTTTATCTTCCCAGCAGTTATTCTGGATGCAAATCCAATTTCATTGCTTTTCAGATTTTTCTTCATCATTATTTGCAGTGTGCTTAATTTTTGGTTTCAGTCATTGCTCTTTGCTTTGTGATAATGCGTTTCTTTGTATTTTGATTTGGGTTTTTTTTGTTTTGTTTTGGTGCTTTTTCAGTGGTTCTTAACTATCAGCATCTGTGTTTCTGACAAGAAGCTGTGAAACTAAATTAGGAGACTAGGAAAGAGACAAATTGGATGGTTGCTGTCACTGCCTGGGTGGGTGGGGGGACTGAAAGAATAACATTTTAGTTGAGTGAAGATGCAGTTTATACAGTGTAGCATCACTGTAGAAGGTATATTTAAACTGCCTTATTTGAATGGCAGCTATTTGTCAGTTTTTTACGGATGCTATCCAAGTAACAGGTGACTAAAAAACAAATTTCCTTTACTTTCTTGTGCTTCACTTAAAACGTTTCATCATTTAGGTACACAATGCTATTGAGGTGTAGTATTTTTTTTTTCCAGAGCTAGAAAAGAGAAATAAGAAGCCCTTTGCTGTTGGGCCACATTGTTCATTTTTGAGGATTTTGCAATAATATGATTAGGCTAAGAAATTGGGTTTAATCTAGCAGGGGCAAGACAAAGGATTTTTTGGCTCAGAGCAGCACGGATTTTCGGTTTTAAGAAAGAAAAAATTAATGAAAAAGCAGTAGGTGAGAAAGACAGCAAAGCATAGTGTTTACGTACAGAGGGGTGACTTATTAAAGGAAAAACATAAACCCTTGAATCCTGCGATGGGGAGACTGGGTGACTGCTACAGCGGGGGGATATTAGCTGGCATCGTGTACTTTTTCCTTTATACAGCCGTTGCAATTCGTCACAGCCACCGGGCATCAATCTAGCTGACCATCTATGAGACATCATGGCATATTAGAAAGTGCTCTCCATCACCACCATCAAACATCACATATCTTTTGGAAGAATGCTACTTATAGAGTCACTGCCAGTTAATTGAGTTGGGGGGCTTATCCTATAATTTGTCACCCGTCCATAAAGTAAAGTCACCTCAACTTTGGCACACCAGTTAGCATCTGCTGACCTTGGATTACGCACACAGATTCTTGAATCATTCGTCATCGCTTTTCATCAACGCAGCCTCCCTACCACGAAACAACAACAGTGCCAGTGCGATTAGTCTTTTTTGGGGGGGTGTCTTCTCACTGGTGCACAACAGTGACGGAAACTCCACTGCCATCTGTATCGGCAAATAATGCTGAGCTGGCATCAGGAGTCGAACGGGGATTAATAGCATCCACCCTGCTGTCAGTACAGAGGGGGTAGGCGTGTGAGAAAAGGGGTGGTTGAGCTAAGTAATTAATACTTGATGATGACAAATGGAGGTGGAAGGCGAGGCAAGCGGAGGGAGGAACGTTTGGCTAATGAACAAAGGGACGAGTGTATACTAAGTTGGCAGTAAGGAAGTGATTTGACAGAATACTGCACTATAGGCGAGAGTGGGAGGGCACTGTCATTCTCAGGTAGGATACATAGTCACGCAGAGTTAAGCCATAACTGTTGGGAATCCCTGAAGATAATTTTGTCATGAAGTAGTCAGACAAAAATGCTTTCTTGCTCACAGTATGTGCATTTTTATGGAGATTTATGCACATAGCATGCTTGTAGAACGTATTTTGCAACAGCATGTGGATTACAACATACACACACAACAAAACGCTACTGAGCTGCTGGGATAAATTTCAATTTAAATAGAAGCAAGTATGAGTTGGGATTCAACTGTTTAAATTGGGATCCAAGTCCAAACAAAAATACAAAAATCTTCTCGAGTTATATAGAAACAGTTATATACATATACAAAACTCTCACAAGGCTTTGCATGGCAATGCATAATTAATAATTAAAGAAGTACACAATTGGATAGATAGTATTTACTAGAAATAAACCGAAAACCTATGATCTAATAGATAGTAAATGTACTAAAAAGAATAAATATGTGTAAATCTGTAGTGATATTCAGAATACTTTACTATAGATTTATAGAAATGCCAGATGGTATTTAATATTCTCAGACCCTTGTATTTTCTATTCCAGGGTTCTGACTTCCCACTTAGATTTGGTTATGTCCAGGGAAGCCTACTGGGGATGGTCCTACTGCGTTTTTGGTCACAGTGCTTCTTTAAGCTCTAGTTTCTGATACATAACCAAATATATGTTTCGGTGCAACATGCCAAATGGAATGAAAACTGACCAGATATGCTGTACTATAAATGGGAAGGAGCTAGTATGAGGTGAAGAGATTGAGGCTGCCAGGTCTGGCGCAGTTCCCTTCACCCTCTGTGGTGTAGCTGAGGGCCTCTTTAGCACTGCCAGGCCACCTTAAGCCTTTCCAGGTGCCTCTGTGAAACACAGATCAAAAGCAAGACAGTAGCAAGGGATAAAGGCATGGGAGGAGGAGGAGGCAAACACTGGATGGACTCCAAGAAGCCACTGATAGAGAGCTGCTGGTGCTATACGAGGGGGGAAAGAGAAAGAGAGACCGAGAATACTCTAATTGGAAGAGAAAATGGAAAGTTAGACCTGGTTTGCGCACACATAAAAGCATGAACACACTGACTTTTTGTATTTTGACAAGTATTGGGAGCTGGAAAATCTAGAAAATATATTCACATCCCGCCTTCTTTTTCACCGGGGTCAGTTGCAGCTCATCTCTTGTCTCGTTCTCATTTCTTGTGATGCTGCTGGTGTTTTCAGCGCGCCGTGCGTTCTGTCTGAAAGGGGTCCTAAACCATCTGACAAGGGTATCTTCTATTTGCTTGCTAACGAGCAAGAACACACACACACACACACACATATTCTTTATTGAGACGTCGAAGCCAAAAGGAGGAGATCATAGGACTTGCTGACCCACAAACTCGCGCTGAGATCCTTATGACGGTGATGATGTAGCAGTACGGCATTTTCATTTTGATCATTATGCAGCGTGCGTGTGTGTTTGTCTTTCTGAGCATCCCTATGTGAGTCTATGTTTTATGCACACTGCCATTATCAAAGCTGCGACTGACCCACTTTTAGGCAAGTTTTCTGTTTCATACAGGCTTGATCCAGAGGCTTGTTAGTCTGGGTGTGTAACGTATTTTCCGTCATTTTATCTGACCCTCCAGGACCTCACAAGTTGCAAACGGGAATAAAGTTTTGAATTGCTTTCTGATAAATATATTCCTGATAAACAATGTCCTTTGAAGCTGTGGCATCGTGGGTGACAGATCAGATTAGATTAGGTCTTCTTTATTACTTTCTGCAATTGATATTCTCCACTTTCTAGCTATCTTGCACCTGTCTTCTTCATCCTCTCCTGCTCTTCCTTTTTCTTTTACTTCTTTCCTCTGCAGTGCTACCTTCTCACATTTCTCTGCTTACAGTATAATCTTTATTCTCCTCCTCTGCATCATTCATTGCAGTCTTACTAAATGTCTCTCTTTTTTTTTAACACTATACTATATTTTTACCTTAGTCTGTACTGTTACTGTTATTGCTTATCCTCTGGTATGTTAAACTATCCCTCTGTCTTCCCCCAACAGCGTTTGGCCAACTCCAAAGCCCACACGTCGCGCTTCATCAGTGCCAACCTTCCCTGCAACAAGTTCAAAAATCGGCTGGTTAACATCATGCCCTACGAGACCACTCGTGTTTGCCTGCAGCCAATCAGAGGCCTGGAAGGATCTGACTACATCAATGCCAGCTTTATTGATGGATACAGGTAGGAAGAGTTGAGATGGCAGAAAAGCACGCCAGCATGAGTGAAGTAACTGCTTATTTATTCATGTGTTTATTTCTACCTCAAAGAAACATCTTGATTGATCAGAGACATATATTACATGGAATAAAGAAAATGAGAGAAATATTCATTCTATTTTTGTATTTTTTCCTCATAGCAGTCATGTAATCGTGTTTATTATTATGTAAAAGCAATCATCAAGTTTATTTATCGTCCACAAGTTTGTGTCGTACGGTTGATTTTGTTTTTCCCCCTCTGAATTTGCATCAGTGGTGTTTACAGTTAATTACTCAAGTAAACATGGTGTGACTTTACTGTTTAAACAGGCAACAGAAAGCCTACATTGCCACGCAGGGCCCTCTGGCGGAGACTACAGAAGACTTCTGGAGAATGCTCTGGGAGAACAACTCCACTATTGTAGTCATGTTGACCAAACTTAGAGAGATGGGACGGGTACGACGCTGATTTATGTTATTTATCTGTCTCTTTTTGCTTAAAAATTAAAATAATTTAAATCAAAATGTAAAACGCCATAAAAAATTCCACTAAAAATCATCACAATTTTTTTTCAAACAGGAAAAATGTCACCAGTACTGGCCTGCAGAGCGCTCTGCCAGGTATCAGTACTTTGTGGTAGACCCCATGGCAGAGTATAACATGCCTCAGTACATCCTCCGAGAGTTCAAGGTCACAGACGCCAGGGTAAGAGGGGGTCCTTTGGCGGTTTGGGAGGGTTAAATAGGGCGCAAGATGTGAAATTTTCCAATGAATGCAAAATATATAAATACAATACATTACACCCTTGAAAAGCCTACATAAACACAGAGCCTGTACATGTTTCCACACTGTAGCCTACATGTTGTATTTTTTCTGTTCAGCGGCTTTTGTTGTTGATGCTGGGGCGTAAATCTGAAATCTGCCCATCACACCTTAAAAGAAAACTTTGTACTAAATTGCTGTCAGCACTCAATAGATATTCAGCTGCAGTTGCTTTGTATCAAAGCGCAAGAGGGACTTTTTCCAGTCTTCTTCTTTATGCTTTTGTTCATCAGAAGTTGTGCGCCAATGACGCATTTTTAGCCTCCTCAAAAGACTAAAAGTACAAGAGTGTAAAAAAAAAAAAGATGTTATAATTTGGACAGATGCGCCATCAACAACTCACTGAGGTGTTGGAAATGTCGAAGATTAAGCAAGTTGAGTAAAACTAGGCCACGTAAACAGAAAAACATCGCAGTCTCATCATATTTATCCCAAAAACCTTCCTTAAAAGAGTTTTTTTCTGTTTCTATTGTGAGATAGATTTCCATACAGTGTTTCACTACTGAACTGACTTTTCTCACCCTGAACTGTTAAGAAGCTACTCTGCTCTTTTGTAGTTATCTCTTTACCTCCGATAACATTTCTTTTTTGGTCAAATTAGGTCAGACAGTTCAAAGGAGCAACAGTAGAAATCTAGCAGAGAGATGAAAATCTCCCGTCTCGGCTGATATACCCACTGATTTCCCAGGCATCATCCTGTTGGTATTAAAGCAATTAAGGCAACTCAAAGACTCGCGCACACATGCACTCATGAAAAGGCTCATGCCGATCTCCTTTCCTCTGCATATTTCTATTAGTTCATGCGCACAAGTTCAGATATCATCTTCCAAAGGCTCTGATAGATTAAACACACTAGCCGGGCCTGCTTTTTCTAATTCTTCATCCCATATTTAGTGAGTGGAACAAAACTGTAGAGGTTATCGCTGTGAGTGTGACGATGTTCGTGCACAGTTTCGGTAAGATTGACCCAGTCGTTTCGGAGTAGCTTGAATACACACAGATACATATGCATACATGCACTACCATCGTTTTAGTAAGAAGATATGAATGCATATAAAGTATGAGATTGCTCTAACGTGCATGCAAACACGATGCCCCGAGGTCTGGTCAGTGCTGCTTTTCTTTTCGAGGATTGTCAAAGGGGACTCAATCATCAAAGCAAACAGTGTTAGCAAACAGGCAGTCAAAGCTTATCACACAGTTAAGAAAACAAAGCGGAGAGATGGTGCAGGTGATAGTCCGGTCTGTGCTTTCAGGCCGCGCGTGTGCGTGTGCGTGTGCGTCGATCTTGCAGGTTTCGACCCCATATTGCTGATTGTGTATGCACTTAAAAGTGTCTGTGACCTGGGCTTACCCTGCTATTGCACAGATCACATGTACATGTTTGTCTGTTTTGTATATGTATGACTGTGTGTGTGTGTGTGCACACAGCTGTGTGTGTTTCTCTCGCATGCCTCTGAGCAGTAATAGCATAGACTCCACGCCTCAACACTCACATCTAGCGAGCCAGTCACGTATTTAATCACACAATTTGACACGGCGCGTGGGCCCTCAGGTTGTGTGTTAAATTTTGCTCCCCCACCCCCCCACCCCCCCTTCTTTCTTTCGCGTGCTTAGTTTATTGTGTTGTTGTCTTTGCCCCTCTTTCATTTTTAATCCCCCTGCTGAGGCTAAATGTTTTTGAGATGGAAAAACAAAGGCAACACAAGAAAGAAAACATGCAATGCGTCATAAAACAGGGAAAGAGACATGAGGTGTTTTACAAAGAGAGCTGGTATACGGGGCCTAACTTATTAGATTCTAAATCACTGTATTTGTCAAGCACAATAAATGTACAAGAGTACCCCTTGGCAGCAGCGATGCAGACTCACATCAGCAGCACGTATAGTCCCATGTGACAATAGGCAGATTATTTAAATCCTTTGACATATAGTAACAACGTAAAGTATATATGTTCAGCATAGAGTCACCGTCTGAACGGGGGGATGGTTAGCTCTTGGCAAAAATCAGAATAAATCAGTAAGAATGTAAGACAGCTCCCATCCATGATGCTTAGAGACCCTCAGGCACTTGTTTACTTCAACACATTTGACATTTACCATGAATTCTGCTCAGTATGATTTTTGTCATTTATGACATGAAGCATGTTGCATGTCTTCATTGCATCTTGTTCTTTACATACACCATGCTGCAGTTTCTTCAACAATATTGGGGAAAATTAGAATTTATTATACCACCTGTGATTTTCAAAAATAAACAACACACAGATATTTTTGTAATCTTTCAATAATGTCTTTAAAAGTAAAAATGCTATTTTCATTAATATA